AAATCTAAAATAAAGAATAAAAAAATGAAAGAGAAATCGAAATAAAAACTAAAAATAGAATAAAAAAAGAAAGAGAAAATAAAGAATAAAAAAAATGAAAAAAGAATAAAAATTTTAAAAGGAAAATAAATAAAAGCTAAAAAAACGAATACAAAAGAAAGAAAAAGAGAAAAATCTAAAAAGGAATAAAAACGAAAGAGAATAAAATAAACTGAAAAAAAGAATAAAATTGAAAGAGAATAAAAATAAAAAAAATGAAAAAGAATAAAAAGAAAGAAAAGAAAGAAAAATTTAAATAATAAATAAAAATTGTAAAAGTATAAAAACGAAATAAAAATTTGAAAAATAGCAAAAAAAAAAGCAAAGATTAAAAGAAATAAAAACCCAAAATTGAAAGAATAAAAACTGAAAAATGAAAGAATAAAAACTGAGCCTTTTAAGAACAATAATCAGATGAAACAGAAAAATCAACCAGTCTGGCTCAGATGGAAACGAACGAATTTGGTGTCATCATGGCGAGGCGTACAAAGAAAAATGTTTGGTATTGACATATGATGGTAGGAACGCTATTTTATGGAGATATATGAGCTCTAAAGGTATTGATGAGTTTCACTTCATCGACACTATTCTCAATACTGATGATCGCTGCAATAATATATTGACAAGAAATTTGCCTTCATTGAAACTCTCATGCAGTTTACGGTATGACAATAATCTACAGCTGTTGAAAAAAATTAAAAAAAAACTCAGTCGATCACGTATCCAAATTAAATTCCAATTTGACATTTGTGGCATGCCGGGAAACGATAGGTTGGCAAACGAGGACCCCCTAGCAAGAGTTAGGGTTAATTAATTAATATTTCATTGATTGTGCGAAAATAGTGAAATCAATATTGTCACGAGTCGATCGGGATCGATGCGAACAATCCGTTCCTTAGCTGCATAGTCTGTGATTCGTCAGGGCTACATACGTTTTGAATTCAGAGTTTTCCTTCTCCTAGACCGGTTGCCATCCAAGGCTATAGAACCTTATGATATGTCCCGGAAAGGGACACATTTGAACGAAGTAGGTAAGTGGTTTTGGCTACTATAATCAAGTAGAATACGGTAGCAGTAATCGACTGGTACGCGTCGTAGTCGCAGGTAATGAGTGTAGATCAATGGCGTAGTACAATGGGCGTCGTTATAGACTTAGCTATGAGACTAAGGTTCTTGACTCTGTCGCACCTACACGTCCGTCGGTATTTATGAATGACACCAGCCAATCATATTCCAGTGAGAGGGAACACAGGTGTATGCATATTCCATTA